GCGTGAGTCGACTGAGTTATAAGAAAAACTCCACAAAGACCAAAACCCACTTTGTGTACTGAACTGTAAACGTGATTATTTCATGGCTGAAGTTGAGCACTTTATCACAGGAGTCTGCAGGGATTTACTCAGTCGTGGAGCATACTTGCCAACCTTGAGACCTCAGAATTACAGAGACATTCAAAAGGGCTGTGGGGGAGGGGTTGTATACACATACATATACATATACATATATATATATATACAAAAAACTTGAATTTTACAATGTTGTTTTTATCGGCTAAAATAAGTTAAATGTCGCAGTTATTATTGTCTGGCCGGAAACAGCGGGGGTGTCCACATTCAGAAGCTGTGTCCACCTGAGGACCTTGCCTTTAAGTGACTTATATATATATCATGTTTAACCTGAGTAGCGAAAGACCACGGGGGTTTGAAAACGATGTGCCAGGAGTTTGCTGTTCCGTCGGCTCAGATATTTGACGTTTACGCAGCTACATTCTCGCCTGAAAATATGTTAAAAGTTTATTTTGCAACCCAGAAAGAGTAATAAGAGTAATATTAAAACTAAGTAGCTGCAGTAGTAGTAGCCATTGTTGGAAACTGGAATTGGATGGGCCAATCTGGGATATGGTTTTTCAATTTTGTTATCCGGGTGGAAAATCGGGAGAAATCCGGGAGAATGGTGGCTCCAGGAGATTTTCGGGAGGGGCATGGAAAAATCGGGAGGGTTGGCATGTATGCTCGTGGAGTCAGCCTCAAGTGGACATTTCAGGAACTGCGGAATTACAGTTTGTTTAATTTTTCAGCTCTGGCAGCTGCTGCTTAAGAAATAGGGCTTTGGAGTTGACATCACGCCGCAATGCATTGTAGGAGCGCAGCTCCATTTTCGGGGTCTACGAATCAAAACAAACACACTGTGTTGGAACGACGACGACAAGAAACACGCTTAAAAGCAGCTAAAAAAAGAAAACGGACGGTATAGAGACCGATTGCGTCCAGAGGCGAAGCAGCGGTACTTGAAAAAAAATAGAGTGCATCGCAAATCTGGACCCATATGAAATACGGCAGTGGAGTAAAGACCCAGACGACTTACCGCCACTGTCCTACCCCGATATCTTCACGTATCTTGTTGTGGAGTAAGCGCTTACACAGCGAACCAGTTTCGTAATTACAAGTCACTGGAGGCGCACATCCAATTTACAAATGGCTGGGTGCAAGATTTGGCTATTTTCAAGCCGCCAAACTCTGAGTACGTCGTCAAAGTAAGTCAGCTGGAGTGCACCGAGTGAAATAGCCATTTTCCACCCCCCACCATAATTAATGTTACACATTTATCATTTAACTGCTAAAATATCGTTATCATATTATATGCCCATAATTGTAAAGTACATGCAAATTAACACATTGATAATCGGGTAAATTATTAACGCCAATTTGTGTCCTTCCTGTCTCATTTCATTTATTGTCTTTACATCAACCAATCAAGTCACTCCATTCTATGTTTGATCGCAATTTCTATAACTTCCGAGACCACCAACGATAATATTATTCAGCTATAAAGTGTGATATGAACATATTTAGAACTTACCGGAATGAAAATGTCTTGAGCACACCAGCTGATATCTGGAGACGTAACAGAACTTGATATCAGCTCGTCTCACGGCTGCTATCCAGGCTAGACGCCTTCGTTTGGTAATATCCGATACATGAGCTCCTTCATGTTGCTTCCAGGTTGGGAAAGCATAAAAAGACAATCCAAACTTATTCCCGTGCCGGTCGTAAGATCGAACATTGCAGCCGACCACACAGCAAGTACGAACCATGGCTATGCTTTCGCTCCTTACTTAGACCCCCAAAATGGCGGATCGGGCCAAAATCCTTTCCACGCCCACCCCCGTGACATCACGCTCCAAAGCCCTATACAGAC